ATATATATATACGATAACTATTGTGCTTGCGAGTAAAATCCGAACTCTACGAAGTGAACCTTGGGCAATTTTCCAGTTTACAAATAATATGAACTCGACTTCGTTATTAGCTGATAGCTGACTGCATAATCATTGTCGAGTTATATAACTTGTATAAGAGGCTTATTAACACTCGCGCGTGTATGTTGTTTGCATATTGTTTCGATATTTCCTATTTAGATTTTTAGCGTCGAGAATAGTTACGACTAGACCGCGAATATTTGTACTGATAAGCATTAATTGGTACACTTATCGTGCAAGGGAAAGTATGAAAAAGTCAAAGAACTTCTATTTACACACGTTAGAAAAATTATCTTTCAGAAGGAAAGTAATCTTTCGGTGTTCGGTGTTTGTGGCTTATCGCTCTGACCTAACATTTCTGAACAGTTTCTTCTGTCGTGTCTTTGGTGTGTACAAACCTTAACGCCGTATTACGTAATAATTTTACACTCGCTCCCACGTGAATGATTCTCGTGAATGTTTCGAACCGACGATGCGACAGAGAACGAAGGAAAAATTTATCGTATGCTTCATACAGGAAAAAATATGAAATCTTTCAATTGTTTGCAGTGGCGAGACGTTCTGTTGGATCGTATTTATTTATGTTAATGTCTAACTTTAACGTCTAACGTTCTCCGTCAAAGTAAATATTTATATTCTACGTTTCAAACTCTATTTCATCATCTATAATAATTGCAAACAGTTTCTTTTCCATTTCATGGTCTTTACATCTCTACTATTTATAAGGTATTTCATCACCTATAATAATTGCAGATTTAAACAGTTTTTCTTCCGTCTTATGGTCTTTCTTGCATCTTTACGAAATACTTCACCATTGAAATCAAACGATGATCAAATTCTGGTACAAAGTTACATACGTGAAGCGTTAGGTTATTCAATTATTCAATAGTTATTATAGTCAAGTGTAGTGAACATTTATGCTCGTATTTACTTTGGAATACAATAGCGTTTGATATTCAACACTTTCGTTCTTTTTTTAAACTTCGTCGTAAGGAATTCTCGATCAAATCAATATTATAGAATACAAATTTGTATAAATGCGGTCTACATTTTTAATTATAAACTCATAATCGACTAATACTTCCGGTAATACATTCTTTCACTTTGAATGTAAAAACTGCATCTTACTCTGTCAATGAGTTTAGATATTGAAGCATCTTTTCATTTCTATAATTTTTTTTCAATCTCCTCACCAGCGCTTCTTTCCTCCCCGAGCTATTAAAACACACTCATAAATTTCACGCAACGTATGAGGAAAAAGTTAAACTGAAATTATCATCGAAATCTCGACCAACCTCCGAGCTTCAGTGCTTCAAGAACTTTTGCAAGCTCCCTTCAAAACCATCAAGCAGGATC